TCGTCGCCATCTGGATTCAACTATCCTGGAGATACCCGCCAAAGTGCGTCGTCGCCTCCACGATCTGGTCAGGGCGCGGCCCACCCTGAGGATGGTCTCGCTGGCCCAGCGTCGTCGGGGAGTCAAGGCCAGCGGCAAGCCCTTACGAACATGAGCGATGACGAGTGGGACCCCCTGCGGGAAATGGAGGAGGACATGGAGAGCGCCTACGAGCACGTCGACCCCGACGGGGAGGTGGAGCCGCTCGGGAACCAAAAGGGGCAAACATTATGTGAACGCCCCCGGCGCGTTCAAACGCAACGCTTGGGGACCGACGTGGGCCGCGCAGATTTGACTCCAGCGCGCGCGCACCAGCGGACGGCCACGGATGCGGACACGGAGGCCCTGGCGGAGACCAGGTCGCAGCCGCAGGTCTTCGACGGCCCGGGCATGCAGGCATTCTGCGCGGGACCATTCTGTGCGACGGCTCAAAAATGGGTAAAAGCCGTTGGGCGCAAACGGGTTGGGCCACCCTCGCGATCGACAGCCAAGGCGTGACTTGGGCCAAATGGCGGGGGCCGCTACCGTGCGAGCTGCCAATCCAACGGACCATCAAGACGGCGGAACTGTGGGCCTTCTACCAGGCGCTGCGCCACGCGACTCCGCCCTGCACCATCCACGCGGACCACAAAGGCATCGTGGAAGGCATCGGCAGGGGCAAGGCCTGGTGCGTCTCGACCAAGAGGCACCGCGCCGACATCTGGCGCCGCAGCTGGGTCAAGCTGGACGACCTGGGCCTCGACGACACCAGCGTGCGTCACGCGAAGGCCCACAGGACGCAGCGAGCGATGCGGGCCCTTGACGAGGAAGACCGGCGGGTGGCGAAGGGCAACGGGGAGGTGGACCTTTTGGCCAGAGACCGCGCAGCGCGAGGCATCGCGCTGCCTCGTCGTTGCAGGCTTGCAGAGGCGTCTGCGCCTGTTGTCGTCGAGCTTATCGTCCTCGAGCGTGGCCTTCTTGTCGTCGAGCTTCTTGACCTCGAGCGTGGCCTTCTTGACCTCGAGCTTCGGCAAGGAGCAGGCCCTCGAGGACCTAGGCCACAGGATCCGCCGGGCGCGGCGCAGCCTCGGGTGGTGGCATACCGCCGTGGAAGAATGGGCCGACGTGGGCCCGAAGCTGGAACGCCCTCGCCCGGCGAAGCCAGGCCCGCCAGTTCAGTACGTCTCGGATATCACGCGCTGGTGTTGTGGATGCCATGACACTTGACACTGACAATCCTACCATTTAGTTGCGTTTAAATGTGCAAGCCACGTTCTAGCAATGTTTCAATCAGGTTTTTACAAATTTAAAACATGCTTGAAACATTTTTAAGACATCTGGAAAGTATTTGGCAGCACGCTTCCTCTTCATTAATCGACTTCCACAGCGCTGGTGGAGCGCGGCCAGTGGCTTCGCTGCACCGCCTGCGGCAGGTCGGCCAAGGCCCCGAGGCACTCGTCGTCGCCCCTGGCACTCTCGATGCCAAGCCCCTGCCGTGGGAGGCCGCTCGCCGGCGGGTCGGCAGCGCGGCCATGACGAGCGGCAGCTCGTCCACGACAGCAGCGACGGCTATGGTTAAGTCGGGCCTGTCCACCTGCAGGGAGATATTCGAGGAAAAATTCAAAAACACGCCAATAAATGTTCAAAAGTGGTCAAGAAATGCTCAACAAATCGTCCCCTGATTTGTTTTCACTATTTTTGAATATTCCTCCTGTAGAGGGACAGGCCCCACGTAACTCTGGCATTCCCAATGCCAGCCCCTGCCGTGGGAGGCCGCTCGCCAGCGGGACAGCAGCGCGGCCATGACGAGCGGCAGCTCGTCCACGACAGCAGCGATGGCTATGGCAGCAGTGACGGCCGTGATGTGAGCAGGGACTGACCGTCCCGGCATTCCTATAGTCCTACCACAAAATGTTCTTAGAACGCCACAATGTTCTAAGAACAAAAACAATGTTCCTAGAACAAGCACGGTGTTCTTAGAACATAAACCCGATGTGATACAACAAGACAGACTCCGCCAGAAATGTTCTAAGAACATTTCTTGGAAACCACAAAGGGTTCTTAGAACATTGTCTGGTAGGGCTACAGGCGAGCCAGGACGCTTCGCCACTGCTTGAGTGATGGGGGCCAGCGCCATGGGCCAAGCCAGCGGCGGGCAGGAGGCGCCGACCCATTAGAGGAAGCACAAGGCGGAGCAGCATCACGGATACTGCGTATGCGTGGCGTGTGGAGGATGCTCCAAGGCGTGCGTGCGGCTCCTGGCTCGGGAGTGCTGCGGCCCGCTGGAGCCCCGCGGCAAGAGTGAGAGGGATAACGCTCGTCGCCGGCGACGGGATCGCATACGTGGAGGTTTGCACCCGAAGACGGGCAAGGCCATTGGTCAGGAAGGACAAAAAGCACACACAGACACTATGAATCGTCGATTCCCCAGGAAGTATGGGAAAATATGGGGACTCGGGGGGAAGACAAAAACACAGAAAATATAGGAACTATGGGGAATCATGATATTTGTGTGTATTTATTTGTGTGTCCCAGGGCCCCTTCACATGGGCGCTGAGCCTCTCCCGCCTGCGGGGGCGGAGCGGCGGAAGGCTAATAGTCTGGTCCGCGCGCCTCTCTTTTGGACGCCTGAATGGGTGCGATGCCCAACAGCAAATGTTGTCCCAAACCAACAGCGGCCGCTGTTAGGCAGGCGGCCTTCTGTCTCGAATGGACAAAAAGGCCGCGACGGCGCGAACAGCGAGTCCTCTTCAAAATGAGCAGGAAACTTGTTTGTTGACATCCACGCCAGCGCCTCCAAATCCTTGGTGCAACCAAGGAGGCGAGCCAGCAGCGGAGGGAGATGCGGGCTCGAATTGAAGAGAAGCAGGAGGAGAGCCGCACGACCACAGGGCAGCCTCCTCCAGGTTCTCTCCCCCTCCCTCGGGGCCCTCCCGTGCGTGCGCGTGCCGAGGGGCGGCACGAGCGCGGACTGGCCTCTCTCTTCGGTCGGCCAGTCTGTCGTTGGGTCGGGCCTGTCCCCCTTTACAGGCCGACCCTGGACGAAAAAATGAAACGTAGTCAAAAAATACCCTAAAATGGTCAACAACTCGTCCCCAGACTATGTTTTGACTACTTCTGAATATTCCCCCCTGTAGAGGGCCAGGCCCGACTGAAATCTAGCGAAGTCAAAACAAAGCGGTACCGGGAGCGTTCCGCAATTGTCACGGGGAGGTGTGGGAGCCCTGGGAGGGGCGGGGGGCGTATTTGTTTACCTTGGAAACATGGGGCTCTCTAGTTTTTTTTGTTCCAGGTTGTCCGCGCTCTCTCGGGACGGCTCTCGAAGCTCTCTTCAGGTCTCGTAGAAGCTTTCTGGGAGCCTGCAGGAGAGCCGTCCGAAGGCTATCTTGGGTTGCTTGGGAGCGCCCTGGGCCGTTCTCAACGTTCTGGGGGCTTCTTGGGGTCGTCTTGGGCTGTCCTGGGGCGTTTTGGGGGCTCCCCGGGAGGCCGGGAGGCGCGGTACTGGGCGCGTTCCAGAGATGTCACGCGGAGGACCCCCGCGGGGGGGGTGGGGGGGGGGGCGTATTTGTTTATCATACATATATATATATATATATATATATATATGTGTGGAGAGAGAAGGTAAACAACGTATACCATGGACCATAGACTAGGTAAAGCGAAAAGAATAATGTGGGAGAATGAGAGAGAGAGAGAGAGAGAACAAACAAAAAACTAAATAGAAAGAGAACATAACAATAGAAAGAGAGAGCGTGTGTGAGTGTGAAATAAAAAACGAGAGGAAGACGAAGAGCGAGACACAGAGAAAGAGAGAGAGAGAGAGAAACAGCATGAGAGGGTGTGCGCGTGTGAAAAAAAAAGCGAAGCAGAGAGAGAGAGGGAGAGAAATAAAGAAATGCAAGTCGAGAATCAAGCAGAGAGTAGAGAGCCAATCGACATGCCACGGCAGGCAGGCGTGGAGGATGCGTGCCAGGCGACGGAGCGAGCCGAAACCTGCCGCATGTAGCAATGTTCGCACACCCTCTTCTTCCTGAGCATTTTCTTAGGGTGGAGGGCTCAGGGTGAAATCCATATGGGCTTTTGCACCTCGAAGCTCAATCCGTCATGTCATTCACCGCTTACAGATTCAAGCGTCGAACATCGAGACGGCATTTCAGACTTCACCCTTTGCCCTCGGCCCAAAGAAAATGCTCCGCTTCCCCTTTCAGCCGTTTCTTGGAGTCCCGAAACGGTGCGGTGACAGACCGTGCGGTGACCTCGAGATCCCCCAAGACCTCACCGCACGGTCCGTCACCGCACGGTCTTGGGACCCCGGAGGCCCCGGTCGCCCGAGGCGTCCTCGGAGAACGACCCGAGTCCCAAGACCGTGCGGTGACCCCGAATCCCCACCGACTCACCGCACGGTGTGGTCACCACCCCGTTTGGGGGCCCCCGAACCCTCGCGGATCGATCCTGCTCGAGAAATGCCGGCGGAAGACGGGGCCTCGAGTTCATAGAGTTCCAATCCTGATTTTCACGGTGTTACCCCTTTTCGCGACGTCCGTCGGTTCCCAGGGGACGGGGAATAGCAAGAAGCGCAGGAGGAGCAGGAGGCTGGGAGCCAACGCCCGCCATGGGCCCTGGGCCTACCGTTTGGGGACCCCCGACCTTTCGTCCACCCCGGTCCTCTCCAGAGGACGGTCACGACCACAATGACGACGGCGATGGCGATTGTGCACGCTTCTTGGTCTGCATCGCTCCAGGCTGTGACGGAAGATATCCCCGAAGGGACTCCGACAGCTACGACGACGGTGATGCCTATAGGTCGACGACGACGCAGGATAGCGACGACGACGACGATAGCGAGAGCGACGACCACGACGACGGCGACGATGACGACCACGACGGCGACAGCGGGAGCAAAGGGCGGCGGCGGCGACTGGCGGCGGCGACTGGCGGCGACGACGACGACGACGACGACGACGACGACCCAGGGCCCCGACACAGGGAGGCGCGCATACCGCCGCGCTGCACCTGCGGTCGCTCAGGGGGTATCCATTGCAAACCTTCCGCGCCGCACTTTCTTCTCACAGGCCGTGGCTCGCCGATGCGTCGCCGATGCGCCGGCGACGCGGCGCGATCCTCCGACCCCTGGGCGCTGCTTACTGTAATGCGGGGGCACTGTGAAGAAAGGTACACCGTTCGTGCACCTCCGGTGCGCCCGGATGCCAATTTAGCCGCCCTTAGCCCCTAGACTAAAAAGCCCCCGGGACCCTCGCGAGCCGACCCAGCCCGAGAAGTGCCGCAGAAAGCTTGGGTCGCGAGGTGCGGTCGTGAGTTCCACGATGCTGCATTTTTCAGTGACGTCGGATCCCAAGGTACTCGAATCCCATCTGGGAGGCCCACCTCCTCCCTCACCGCTCAAAGGCCTCAGACCAGAGGCGTCCCCTGCAGAGCGTCCCGCCCAGGATCTAGCAACAGGGGGGGAAAATCGAAACCACAACCACCATCTCCGCCTCCTCCGCCTCCTCCTCCCCCTCCTCCTCCTCCTCCTCCTCCTCCTCCTCCTCCTCCTCCTCCTCCTCCTCCTCCTCCT